TTCTATGTGAAGGATGCTGCCGTTGAGGATACATTTCAGCATATCTTCTAGAAGCTTCTAACCCATTCCCCTGCGACAGACCATAAACGTAATGCATATCAACCATTTCCTCATTTGTGTATGCCATTTTAATAACAAGTTAATTATTAAAGTAACAAATTACGAACAGAACAACAATACACAATTAGTATTACTTCAATTTCAAAAATTTACAAACTGACAGCTTGAGTTCAATGTAGTTGTCAGTATCGCTAATAGCGGCCTACTAGATAAATTAGTTTCGTATTTTCGTTTTATGGCGATGTCTATCTTGTTCGTAAAATAATTTTTTGCTGCAAACTGGTTTATTTTGGGCAAAAAATTCAAGAGATATTCTTGTTTAGAATTAAACAGGCTATCGGAAATAAATTTTTAAATGGTAAACAAATAATAAGACAAAAAGTTACGTTGGAACGAAATTTTAGGGGTTGCGTTTTTCACCCCTTACAACCATGGGGTAAACCAAATAAATTACTGGCTAAGTGTCTTTTTGGTAGTAGAAAATGTCAGATTAATTTCAATATTGTAACTTGTTTAGGGCTTGTGAAAAAATTGTTAAACAAATTTTATGTACCCCCTTTAAGGGACTGTATCTTAACAAGGGATGCTCCAATGAAGTTTCTTTATATGAAAGATCCTATCTTTTCTTCGATGAGGAATCACCCCCTTAAATTTTTTACACTTATTTAGTTACACCCTGTATAGTGATTCCGAGAACGCCTGAAAGAAAATTCAAAATCGCTCCTTTTTACTTCTTTTTTTTTATTTCTTCTTACTCCTATAAAGCGTCCAAGTATAATCATTTCTTTCAATTTTTACACTTCTTCCAGGTCATTATACAGGGTGTTATTGAAATACACGTACATATTAAAATGGGGAATAGTATGTAATGACCAAAAACGATTGGCACCAATTTTAACTTCAAATTCTAAAATTTAAATATTGGGGAAGAGTCCCCTTTTCCGACCTACTAGTTTCCATATTTAAAGAAGTAAAATAAATCGAAATTGAACTTACCCATAGAAATTGCACTGTTGCCGTAGCAAAACCAATTAATTCAAAATAAAGTTTATTACAGTAATTGTTCAAAATGCCGTCCATTATTATTTACACACACTTGCAATCGTCTTTCCAAAGAACTTTAAACATTAGAAATTAGTCTTGGATTTTGTCGTAGTTCCTCGGCTACCGCATTAACTTTATTGGTTAATTGTTCAACACTATTAATAGGTTCATTATAAACCAGTTGTTTCATGTGACCCCACAAAAAGAAATCGCATGGATTTAAGTCCGGAGATCTCGGAGGCCACTTAGTAGGTCCATTTCTGCCTATCCACTTTTGAGGAAATCTAATGTTCAAAAACTGCCGTACGTTTAAATCAAAGTGAGGAGGAGCGCCATCTAGTAGGTACCACATCCGTTGCCTTAATTGTAACGGTATCTCTTCTAGGAGTACTGGCAAAATATCTTCTAAAAAGTGGAGATATCCTGGCCCATTTAATCTGTTCGGGAGAACATAAGGCCCGATTAAATACTGATCTATTATGCCAGCCCAAACATTTATTGAAAATTTTCTTTGATGCCCAGTTTCCCTAATGGCGTGAGGATTTTCATCACTCCAAATATGCGTATTGTGCATATTGAACACGCCATCACGAGTGAATGAAGCCTCGTCAGTATACAATAATATTTTTAGAAAATCAGGAATATCAACACATTTTTGAATCATCCATTCACAAAACTCCACTCTCTTTTCTTCATCACCTGGATATAAGGCCTGGACTTTTTGGATGTGATAAGGATGTAAACCTTATTCTTTAAGTGTCCGCCACACAACAAATGAGGACACTCCAATTTCAAGACCTAGTCTTCTACAACTTAATTGAGGCCGGTTTTCAACAGCTTCCAATATTTCTTCTTCGGCCGCCAATGTTCTTTGTGTTCTTGTTCTCCCTCGATCTGCATTGACACTCTCAAATTTTCCATGGTCTCTTAGATGCTGAACAGTTGAAATAAACGTACGACAGTCCGGAATTCTCCGATTTGGAAACCGTTCGCGATACAGGATTTGTGCTTGCCGAGAATTTTCTCCAGCTGCCCCATAAACCAGCACTATATCCGTTAGTTCAATATTCGTAAATAGTGGCATCGTAAAAAAATATTTAAAAGTAATCGTAACAACACTTTTTACCAACTTGGAAATGACGCGCTCGTGTTAGCCAGATTCGTAAATCAACTAAAATTTTAATAATCTATAGTTTCAAAAATGTATAGTTTAAAAACAATCATTTATCAAATATTCTAGTTTTTTGATAACGAGGGTAGTAAAAACCAGTCTTCGGAAATAGAAATTAATTCGAAAATCTTGGCAACATGGTTATTTCTTACAAGACTAGTTTTCTTATCATCTGACAAAAACTTGCATATTAATTACTGTTGATGTTTAAAATAGGTAAATAAACCTAATTTATATAGGTCATCCTCAACATATCAGTGAAGTACGTTTGTTTTAGAATTAATTTTCAAAAATTAATAACTCCCTTAATAAGGGGTATTTTTAAAAAATAATATTACATTCAGTGGGGATCTGCGCAATACCCAGTTTTAATATGTACGTGTATTTCAATAACACCCTGTATTTCTCATCCTGTTCTTTCAATAATTTGTTGCATTTATGTTTTCCTTGCTCTTCCCTTTAACTACCTTTCTTGTCCGAATTACTGTTTTTACTAAACTGTTTTTAATATACTGCTATATTGCTTTCATTATACTGCTATACTGCTTTCATTATATTTTCCATATTTTTAAAATAAAACTGAAATGTCTACCTACTATAGTCTATTTTTATGTATGAGAGTATTAAAATAATAAAGCGTTCGTAATCTATAGGCTTCTTCTTTTAGTAGACAGTTAAAATATTTTTTGAAATTATTCCTCGAGTATACACTTATATTTTCACCTAATTAACCTGCTTATAACTTCTAAACAGCTGAAGGTAAAAAAGTGCAATTTTTTCTAAAATGTTTTATTTTTCCACAAGGTATGTTAAGAACATTGTGTCAAACGGGTTATGTAGGTATAAGGGTTTAAACTTTGACTTTTAAACAACGTTACGTTCATAAATAATAATTTTAATATAAAAACTACTTCTTACCTACAAATCCAAATCAGAATCGAAATCAGAAGATGAACTGTCGCAACCAATATTTACAATGAGTGGCTCGATCATTTCATCAGTAATATTGTCCAACTTCTTCTTTAATCGTATGATTTACTGCCTTTTCCCAGTTTTCAGGCTTCACATTATTTACAGCCTCCAAAAACAACTGTTTAACATCACTCATTTTAAAAGAATTATTTTTTCTTGAAACTTCTCCCTTTATCTGTGCCCATATCAGTTCAATCGGGTTTACTTCGCAATGATATGGTGGTGATCTAACCACCGTCATCCCACGATTTTTTGCAATTTTATCAATTTCATATTTTTTGAATTTCTCTTTATAAAGGGAACACAAATGATACAGTTCTTTTCTTACAGAACCGGGATGGAACTTAATATTCTTTGAATTTAGCCAATTCTGTAAATCTTTTTTTAACCACTTGGTTGTGGGCATTTTTTCTATAAGTCTCGAGTGATAACTTGCATTATCCATTACTATTATACAGTTCTGAGGAAGAAGATCTATAATTTGTTCGAACCACTCTTTAAAGACATCAGCATTCATGTCCTCATGGTAGTCACCGGTACGAGTAGATTCAAAAGTCAATAAACCACCTTTAACAAAACCGTTTGAACTACCGATGTGTACTATTATTAGTCTGCGCCCCTTTCCTGGTGGTGGATATAAAACAGTAGATAAATTATTTAAAAAAGCCTGTCTTCGACTTGTAACAGTTTCATCTTGCCAAAATTTATTTGGTTTATGTCCCTCGTTGATCCATGTTTCATCTAAATAAAATATATTTCTTCTTTGGTTTCTCATTTCTTTTATAGTCCTTAGGTAATTACTTCTCCATACTACAATATCGCTTCTTTCTATTAAAATAGACTTTCTGGAATGCTTTTTCCATAGAAAACCTATTTCTTTTAAAAGTTTCCATAGTGTGCTTCGACTCATTTCAGGGTAATCCTTATCATCTCGAACCGTGGCAAGAACTTTGTCTACTGTCGGAAATTCTTTTCTAAAGAAGAACGCATGCACTTTCCTTCGAAGTCTTTCTTTCAAAAGATTTTCTAATCGAAATTTTGGTTTTCCTGGAGCTTTACGTGCTGTTTGAAACTCGCCACATTTCTCTTCTTTAACAACTCTGTAAATCGTAGATTTCCCAACACCAAGCGTACTACTAACTAATTCCACTGTGTCATCAACACTTTTACATAAATGTTTGTCTGTATATGATTTAAAACAATTATATATTAATGTTTTTTCATTAACTGTTAAAGGACCGATTTTTTGTCGTTTACGCGGCCCTTCCAAATTTTCCATGATCATACTAGAATTCACACTGCACCTTGAAAGTTGCAACTAAACGACTTTTAGTAAACTGTCAAGAATACACAACTTGGACCTCCTTACTAAATGGAAAACCTATAATCGCATTTTCGGTGAAATTTGTTGGGAAGGTATTTATCTACTTATAATTCGATTACTGTAAGAAATTCTTGGAATTAAAATAGAAACAAAATTGGCAAATAGGTACTTATTGAAAATAATCTTGAGATCTATGTAATCTTTAATACACAGGGCTTTTGGCCTGTCCAAACCTTTTTCTATTGTTCTGTACAGCTTATGTTTATAAAGGACCAATAAAAGATCCAAAACTTGTAATAGCTCAGGTACATTTATTACAATTTTAGGAAATATTTAGATTATTCTGTAAAAATATTTAAAATGACCGTACTAAGTTTTGCATTAGAAATGCTGTTTTATTACTCTCTCATACATAAAAATAGACTATAAGAAAGGAATTGGAAATAAAAACACTTAAGAGTTTTGTTAAAAAAATACATCATTATCTAATGTTTTTTTGTTTTGTTTGTTTCAGACCACAATTCATAAAATGACATCAGATTTCAAAAGAAGTCCAAGCAAAGTCTGGTGGGGTAGCGAAATGGAATGGCGCGAGGTCTCTACAAGCCCAGGAAGTCAAGATTCCGGATTTTCAGATACGGAAACTTCCCCAAATCTCCAACAACAAAATCAGAATGCCAAAACAGAAACTCCGAAAAAGGAATCTCCATCGCAACGAATTCCCAAAGATATATTCAAAGCCCTGGCGACCGAAAGTTCGAAACAAAATTTGAGTTGTAATTTTAAAGAAAAATCGACGCCAGAAAAAGATAATCTGGTGGTAAAAAGATCGACACAAACTGAGGTTAAAGTGGTATCGAAAGATAGGGAAAGTGAATTAACGAAGTCTGAACCAGTAAGAAAGTCTCGATACGTTAAAAATTCACCGAAAGTCAGTAGAAATTTGTTTACCTCCAATTCGAAAATTAAATCAGGTACGCCTAATCAATATTCCGAAAATGTCCAAGACGCAAACACATTTCTTAATACTAGCGAAGAAGTGACAGTGGACGATAGTTATTCGTACAGAACACATGAAACACTAGACTCGTTTGAATACACAACGCAATCACAACCAGCTCTAAAACATCCCGAAGATTTCAGCTTGGATGAAATCAGCAAATCGGCTCCCGCAATCTTGGAACCAGCCCGGGAATTTCGGGATAAAAGTGAATACGAAGCAGTGACTAGTTTTAATAATTCTCTATCCAGTGATTGTGAAAGTGAACTGGAGTGCTTGTTTAATGGTAGATTGGAATCGCCCAAACATACATCTACTCCTAAGCCTGATGCTGTTGAAGCTATGCGTCAAAAAAATGAGAAATTGCCTTTGAGATTATTTTTGCAGTATCAACAAGAGAGGTGAGATTTTTAAAATTTTTAAAATTTATTCTAATCTTTAATGGTATATCGGGTCTAGGACAAGACCAAAAAGAGATCGAAAATAAAATATCGAAAGCCAGAAGATCGAAAACGCAAGAGAACGAAATTAAAAAAAAAGAAAAGTTCTAAATAGTCCCAGAGCTGAAATATCTTTTTTTCGATCTTTTGTATTTCTGCCGTTTGTTTTCGATCACTTTTTTCATTGATTCGTTTAATATATTTTTACTGAAGCGTAGAGGGGCACAAAATCGTTTTAGGAATCGAAAAATCGAATTTTCTTACTAGTAACTCAGAAAAATTGATTTTTCCGACTTATAGATCGGAAAGATCTATTTTGCTGACATGTAGCTCAGAAAAGGTTGATTTTTATGATTTGTAACTCACAACTTACAACTCAGAAAACTACTTTTTCAGACTTTTATGTCAGAAAAATGTCTAGGTATATAGTTTCATCCCTATAGTACCTACGTTTACACCGGAGGTTAATAAATAACATTATAAATTCAGATCTAACGTTTGTACTAAAAATTGTAGTTTTGAATTCAGATACCTAGTTTAAAATGAGCTAAGTTATTTTTTCAATAAGGATTTCTATACCTGAACGTCAATGTTATGGTTTTCGATAGAAAAATTGATTTTTCTGACTTGCAACTCATAAAGATTAAATTTTTTGACTTGTAACTCAGAAAAACTACATTTTTTTCACTTAGAAATCTAAAAAATTGATTTTTCTAATATGTAACTAAGAAAAATTGATTTTTAAGACTCAGAAATCGGAAAAATTGATTTTGTGACTTGCAACTCAGAAACTGTACTCACAACTCAGGTCAGAAAAATATCTTAGTACATAGTTGCATCCCTACAATACCTATGTTTACACCGAAGTGAGTAATAAATAACATCTTCGCTTGAGAAGAATCAGTAACAATAAATCATTTTCCATTAGTTTTGAGTATTACGCATTTAACAGTTTTATTGCCTATGACGAAGACAGTTGCAGGCAATTTTAACCCCCCTTAAACCCCCATTTTTAAACAAATTATTTTAAAACTTAATAGGATTCGTCCCATTGTAGAGCTTGATTTTTCCTGAAAATTTTAAGTTGATATTGTTTTTCGTTTCAACCCCTCCCTTAACCCCTTCATTTTTAATAAAAAATTTTAAAATCAATAAACTTTGTCCCCTTATAGAGCTTGTTTTTTGATAAAAATGTCATGTTGATATCGCTTTTCTTTGTTGATTTTAATTTTAACCCCCTTAACACCCCCTATTTTTAAAAATCAGTGTGCTTCGTTCTATTGAAAAGCTCGATTTTTCCTGAAAATTTCAAGTTGATACTGTTTTTCTTTTATGATTTTTTAAATTTTAACCTCCTTAACCCCACCATTTATTTAGATTTTTTTTAAAATGAATGTACTTCGTTCCATCGTAGAGCTTGATTTTCATGATTTTTCTTGATTTTTTAAAGTTTCAATCTAATAATGGAGGGATTAAGGAGGGCTCTCCATTATTAATTAGATTTTTTTTAAATCAATACACTTCCTCTCCTGTAGTTATTGATATGTCCTAAAAATTACAAGTTGATATTGTTTTCCGTTTTCGATTTATGATTTTTTCTTAATTTTAACCCCCCTTAACCACCCACTTTTGATCAAATTTTTTTAAAAATAAATAGTTTCATTGTAGAGCTTGATTTTTCCTGAAAATTTTAAGTTGATATTGTTTTCGTTTTTATTTTATAATTTTTTTAAAGCTTTAATCCCCCCTTAACCCTTCCATTATTAATCAGATTTTTTCAAAATCATTATGTTTCGTTTCTTTATAGATATTGATATGCCTTAAAAATTTCAAGTTGATTTTTTTTTTTAATTTGGTGTCATCGGCCTCGTCTACTACGGCCATTTGCCTCGTTTCTGTGTAGGCCTTGTTACTGTTTCCCAGCGCCACTTTAGGAACAGCACTGTTAATTAGAATCCAACAGTGAATGGTCGAGTGGGGAATCCTAACTGCTTCATTTTAATCAGATTTTTTTTTAAATCACTTAACTTCGTATACTATAAATATCAATAAATAAGAAATAAGTAAATTGTTAGGTATAAAACAATATTTACTATATTCTTATAATAATAACACGAAACTCCCAGTAGGCGGCGACAACCAATTAATTACTTTGCTAAATGATGACGTAGCTGTGTTCTTCTAATTGTAATTGGACCCTATAATAGGAGCCGAGATCCCTGTATAGAGAAGCGAATCTGGGACACATACACTATATACTTATTTTTAAATGAATATAATTTAATCAATCTTGTTTTACGTTCCTAAGCACCTGAACATTTATAATTTCCTCCATCCGCAATATATACACATATAGTTGGATCTAAGATCCATACGGGATCGAAACCTGCTAGACCGATTCCATACACCCGCCCTGCTAACTCCTCTTAGGGTCATCAAGATCAATATGCCATGCCTTCTAAAAGGGAATGAAGGATGACATACTATCATCATTTAAACAAGACGTTGCTGAAGGCTTACCCCTGTTATGTCGTCTGTTTGTGTATCTTGTGTGTGCATTCCTGCTGTGTCCCCAGTCATGTAAAAGTTTTCCTAGTCTCCTAATTTGGTGACTAGGCGGACCTTCTCCAACTAGTCATCTAATCTATTCGATCTGCTCTGCAGCAGGAGGTACTTTTCAAACATAGCAAATAATAATATTAATAATAAACACTATTTAAAGATGAATACATTTTGTAATTTTTTTTTCGTTGTTCCTTACCAGGGTATACCTATTTTACATACTCCCTTAATTATAGATTACCTTACGATGTTTAAATGAATAAAACATTTTACCCATGAAAAATCTAATTTCGAATTTAACTCTTTTTCAATTTCATTTGAAACAATTGGTATATTACAATTTATTATCAAAGAAATCTTCTAATAAAGTTATAGCAGATCCTACTTAAACTACTGGTTGTTCTGCAGGATACATTAACTTTTCTTGAGATTGATCTCTCTCTAAAATCCAAAACCGACCTGCAGTGGGATTCTCATGTGCGTACTCAACACGTAACGAATCAGATAGAGAGAGAGAGACATTACATACAAATCGTATTCTGTGGAACGAAGATAGTCGTCTCAACACGTGTCGTATTGAAAGATGAGAATCCCAATGCAGATGTCCCCAAATTTATTTTCCAATGCATCCTGATTTAAAATTCTGCCCTTTTGTGATTCAATTTTTTTTTCTTCGTTTAAATGATTCTACAATCTTCTAATAATAGCCACTAGAGTGGCTCTTAGAGGTAGGTGTGTATGTAAGAAATAGTTAATCTCTAATCATTTCAAAAGTCCTTTGCCAATACTACATGTGCAGAGATTTTTTACTCAGCATACATTTTACTTCTTTTCTAGTAGGTGGGAACTTTGTGCTGCCATTAAAGCCGTCGAGACATTCATCTACCTACTTAATGAACAAAAGTAGCTCTAACAATGGATCTCTGTTCTAATTCACCTAAAATAATTATAGCCATTTTGTAATATACTAATAAACACACACATTATACAGTGGTTTTCTTAATAAATTGGAAATTACTTACCTCTAGAAAGAAACGTGTACAAAAACGCGAGTTTGGTTCCAGAAATTGCTTCATGCAAAAAATAATATGCGAAAATAAACATTCTCCCCCAAAGAAAATTAATTAAACAACAAAATAAGACTCAAAGAAATAAACGGGGCCCAAATTAAATTAATTTTAATAAAATGCACACGTTCATAACAAAATTCATAACATTGTCAGTTGTCAGTTCTAATCTATACGTCGACGTCAAAAAACCAGCAACATCAGCGACCTCTAAGATTGGTGTTAGTTTTATTGGAGCGAGATAAATATATGTAAAGATCAATGTAAAAGAGAAAGAAAGTCATATATGCAATTTAAATGAACTACCGAACAAATTTTCCTATTAAGTTACACGTCTCTGTTGTCTCTGCTACATTTTTCTATCTAACAGAGCGCTCCGATGAATAGACACGGCCTTAATTTTGACGTTCACATTTCGGTTTCGTCAACTGTACCTACATCCATAACTGTAATTTTCGGTACAAATATTCGATCTCAGTTTCTAATATTATTTATCAACAGCTTCGGTGTAAACGTACTGTAAGAATACAACTAGATACCAAGACTTTTTCTTGACTTAGAAGTTTTCTTTTTTATTATTTTTTACATATTTATAAGTATGTTTCTTAATAGAATTATAAATAAATAAAAACTTCTACTCGTATAATAATTATTCTCAATTAATTGGATGCATAATATGTGATTAATTAAATAAATGTAAACACATGACCATCAATTACCTCAGTGTGATTCATTTAAAACCACATTGCAATTTATGATACATTATCACGTAGCTAGTGGTGTGTAAGGTAAGAAATTATTACTCAGTAATAACACAGATCATTGGCGACTACACTGACACACAGAAATCAGGAATCTAAACATCTAAATACAGGAAAATTCACTAAACTACAGCAAAATATAATATATTTCATTACGAGTCCAGAAAATCGGTTTTCCCGTGCGAGCGTGACAATTTGAAGTCATGCAAGCATGATAAAAGCATTTATTGACGTGTAATGAAGGATATTTTTCATTATACCTCTGTGAAAACGAAAACGAAAACAAAAACAAGGCGAAATACAGGGTGAGTCGGGAGGAGCGCACCAAACTCTAGGAGTATATTATATATTATACTCATATGTTCTTATCCGATTTTCATTTGTTTTCAAGTTATGGCGTATTTAAAAATGTTTATCTAGCTTTCCACTTCTGAATTTTAACATTATCAAAGTATGCCATATGTTCAAGGCTCAAAGGCATTTGATAATTCTGACGTTTTGATGAACTGTCAGTGTACAGTGAACAGTAACTGAACGTTTAATTTCGAATTTATGTGATTGTTAATGTTGCAAAATGCCAGATACTTATTCAAATTTAGAATATGCAAATATGGTGTTTGTTTTTGGTTTCTGTAATGCAAATGCTACAGCTGCTGCTGAAGAATATCGTCAATGTTTTCCACACCGAAGACATACTGATAAAAACGTATTTATTAGAGGTTTCAACAAATTGTGCGAGACTGGTAAGCTTCCCAGTGCTTTCATAACATCTGAACGCGCTACTCGACAAGGTTTTGTAGAAGTAGAAAATATTCTGCATCTAGTAGAAGAAGATGCAACTACTAGCTCACGGACAATTGCCACTAAATTGGGAATTCCACAAAAAAGAGTGATAAACACACTCCACGAGCAAGGCTTATATCCTTATCACGTACAGAGAGTACAGCACCTACAACCACAGGATTACGCTAACCGTATGTAGTTTTGTCGGTGGATAAATAATAATTATCGTGTTGTATCGAGTATACTCTTTACGGATGAAGCTACATTTACCCGTGATGGCATTAATAATACTCGTAACTTTCATGTATGGTCAGACGAAAATCCCCACGCAACAATCGAAAGCAATTTTCAACATCGGTTTTCTGTAAACGTGTGGTGTGGTATGGTTGACAGTTATTTAATTGGCCCTTTCATTTTGGAGAATCGTCTCACAGGAGACAACTACCTCAATTTTTTACAAAATGAATTACAAGGCCTGCTAGAGGATGTTCTTGTAAATATTAGAATGCAGATGTACTATCAGCACGATGGAGCTCCTGCACATGTCGCTCGTCAGGTCAAGCAACATTTAGACGAACGTTTTCCAGGGCGTTGAATTGGTCGTGGAGGTCCTATTAATTGGCCTGCAAGATCTCCAGACCTCACACCATTAGATTTTTGTTTATGGGGCTGGATGAAAAATGAAGTCTACAAAATAAAAGTGGACACACGGGATGCACTAATTAGACGAATTGAGAATACTGCAGCCCATATTAAAGAAGAAAGAAATGAATCAATTAGGAGAGCAACAAACGCTCTTCGTAGACGAAGCAGAAAATGTTTAGAAGTCAATGGCGGTATTTTTGAACATTTATTGAAAGAACGCTATGATTAAGAGAATTTTTATGTGTAAATTTGTTTATTTGTTAATATGCTATAACTTGAAAACAAATGAAAATCGGATAAGAACATATTTTTTACAGTATTTTCACGTGTATAATATACTTCTAGAGTTTGGTGCGCTCCTCCCGACTCACCCTGTATATAATGTATATTAAAAACTTTTATTTTTAAAAATAAACGAAAATAAATACTTATCTTAATTTTTACTAAGTAAAATATTTATGGTACAACTTGTGTTATTATTGCCGCTTCAAATAATATTTTTTCTTCTGAAGAAATTATTTTAAAGATATGTCTAACAAAAATTCAAAAAACGAAAGTGTCATAATAATATAAGTATTGTCCATTACTGCTAAAGAATAAATAATAGCGTATATCCTCGTTGTTATGGCTATTGGTCGTATCTCATTTTTTTTTTCAAAATTGAGTTAGGTTGTTTAATAGATAACTAAAATTGCATACTTTGTATGCTGGTAACATTATGGAATCAAACATAAAAAATGTTGGAATGTCTTATTTAATATTATACCATTTGATATTTTAGCTATAAGTCGTATCAATTTTTTTTTTTTTCAAAATTATGTTAGTTTGCTCAATAGATAACTAACACTGCATGCAAAAATATATAAAGATGTAAAATTTCATATAGAGAGGTTCCCTAAAGAAGAATCCCACTATTGTAGAAAATCTTCTGAACAAGAGTACCTCCATGGAGATTTGTCATTGTCTAACATGTACGATATGTACAAGAACGAGATAGAAGGACGAGAAGTTGCTAGCTATAGTACCTACTATAAGATTTTTAAATCATTTAATTTGTCATTTAATCGACCGAAAAAAGACCAGTGTAGTTTGTGCTTACATTGTAACGTGATCTCTAGTTATTCTATCTACTTGTTTAACGTGTTTGAGCTCAATTGATAGGGCATGGGTTAGGTTATTAAATAACTTGAATAACTTTGAAAAAGAAGTTGGGCACCACTATATTTAAAGCTTACTACACTTGACTCTAGATTAGTGATAAAAATATTGAAAATCACTAACCACTAACAAATAATATTTAAACCATGCTTTAGATAAGGTACCTATCAAATTCTAATTCACATAAGTTTTACTAAATTCAAATTTAAAACGATTTATTGTTTAAGCATTAAAATAACCTTTTCAATGATGTGCCGTACATGGTACATTCCTTATTTAAAATTAAGGGGTTGGAGAAGTGGAAGGGAGGGGGTTGACAAATGACAGATGTCTGCATTGTGAAAATGTGTTCAATAAAAAATCGACCTGTTTTAGCATTTTCTTAAAATCCAATGATTAGTTCCGAAAAATAGAATGAAACTGTTTTGAGTGACCCACTCTGTATATCAAAAATGACTAGATTTATCGAATTAGTTTAAGGAATAAAATCTGCTTAAAAATGCATTTTTTACTAGTTGCGCTGTATAAGAAAGAATTTTTCATCGAAAAAATAATATTGAGCGCAGTGCCATCTACATATTGACCCATTTAAAATTAATTTATATCTAAAATTGAAGCTCTCTTAACGCTCTATGAACTGGCTTTTTCAGAATTAAAATATCTCTATTACTTACCAAAATATCTGGCCTGTGAGTTTTTATAGGTACACTCTGTATAGACGAGATATTCTTAAGTTTTTTCGAACCATATCATGAGCAGAATGAAGGTGATTCTGCTCACAGTGCCTTAAGAAAATGTGAAGAAATTTTCATGCCGTTTTAACTCATACCCACAATTCGCCTCGCGAAAGAAAACACCCATATAATGTGACCCAGCCTAACTATTTTGACTTTAAACATTTTAGGAAATTATCACAGGAGATTGATTACTAAACATAAGGATTGATGATCAGAAAGAAAAAGGTAATTGGACAAAAATAAAAGAAGTAAAAATTTCAAAACAAAATTTACATAAAGGTTACTTTAAAAGTTGCCATAATACCAACACATACATATCTTTAACTTTAAAAAGAAATATCTGTTTGCAAAATGTCGTCTTAACACCTCTCAATTCTAGTCCAAATAAAATATGTGCAGAAAAATATAGGGATTTAAATTCATTTTGTACATCAGATATGCCGGTTACAAGAAATATTTTACCAAAATTTGCCTTATGAAAACTAATTGTTGATTTTGTTAAACATAATATATTATTCAATTATATTTTGTTGTGTTATAGCGTTAATTAAATAGTTTTTATTATTGCTAACTACTAATAAATGTTGAAATAAAAAATGTTGTTAAACTACTAATGCTTTTTTTCTGGTTGTGAGTTGTAATCAATATGGCATATTTTTTTATGGCTATTGATCGTAACTCCAACAAACTTGTAAAAAAAACATCTTTAACATCGAACAATATAAACTGCAATGTACATAGCTCCCAGAATGATCAAAGTACATCAGAAAATCAGAGGAAACAAACCAACTTGCTTTAAAATTTATCAGTAATAAAGTGTTTCATTACACGAAAAATCTTATTAAGGGCCTCCTGGATATTACTGTGAATTTGAGATACGACCAATAGCCAAAACAACGACGATATGTTTAAAAACAATTAAAAAATCTGACAACTGTTGTAATATTACAGGCATTGTTTAGTGTTGCTGGGCAAAAAATATATACTTAGCGCACAGGAAACATTTTCCTGTGCAATCGCAATGTAAAGATAGGTATAATGAAAATAACATTTCGTCCCATTATTACGAATATTCTATTGAACAAACACCACATTTTTAACCATAACAATTACATTATTTACATACGACGTACCCATATTGTTATGATAATAAGATAATTCCCAACCCCTACATTAAAATTCCTAATTCCCAGAAAATCCGAACTCCCCTAAATCACAACTAACCCCATTTCGATTTTTTCCCACTTCTTAATTACTTCTGCCCCACTTCTGAAATATACCTACTTCCCTCGATACCCTACGTTTCTCACAAAACTCACAGGTTTCCGTGTACTTTTAGGGTTCCCCCGATTCCCACCGATGGCTACTCTGACCTGGACAACAAAGCCCTAGAAATGTGGATGAAAGAAGCGAGACAGAACTACGACCAGGAGTGCATGACGACGCTGCAATGCAAGTCTATAGTGGGGGAGCTAAATCAGAAAGTATCACACCTTGCGGCTTGTTCTACTACCATAGTCAGGGGCGTTATTTCACATGCGCGATGTATTGAGATGGAGTACGATAATCTTAAAATCAGGTATTTTTAATGTTTCTTCATTGAATTAATTAATTATTTAAGTAAATTTGGCAAATTATATAATTTAGATTGACTGTTCCTAAATATCAGGTACCTACATACGAAAGGGATAATTTTTCGGCGGCTTATTTCATGACTAAAAGTTCATATGAACATAAGTCCGCAAATAATTCGTTACTGATCTACAGGGTGTTGAACATTCAAGATTTTTTCTTCATATATACTGCAGTTTTTGAGATATTTAGATCAAATTTGGAATCTAGGTTACGCTGCAGGGCTTACATTATTTGGGATGACAATTGGTCGTGAGAATCTCCAGGGTGATATTTTTTCAGGAATCATGCTGCTTTTTTTCCCTGAACTTTTTTGTGATGCATCGTTTGTACATTATAAAATACAAAATGAATTCTTAGTTTTATTTAGAAACTTTATCGTCTCCTGTAGGTTTTTGTATCTACAAAAAATGTAATTCGCTAAATGAAAGTAACATTTTTAAAATGATCTACAGAAGGCTCTGGCTTTGTTGTGGATAATATCTTCTTTTAATTGATTTTAACAGTATGAATTTGAAGTCGTATCTTGTATCTACAAATTAAAACCAAAAAAGTTTAAATTTCAACACCCTGTAGATCGGTAACGAAGAGTTTGCGGACCCATGCTTATATAAATATTTAGTCATAAAATACATCAAAGAATTACCCACTTCTGTATGTCTATGCTGTTTAGGAATATTTATAAATATTTAGGACTATTTCCCTAGACCAAATATCAGCGATATTATTGTTATTGCTTAATTTCTTGAACACTTTACAATTTGCTTCTACATAATTTTGGCATTAATAATTAATTGATTAAAGCCCTCGAGCTAAAGGTCTCGGGCTCTAATCAGATTATTATTGCCTAAAATTATGTTTCATCAAATTGATATTAAAACATGCTCGAGATTTAGACTCAACAAAAATAGCCGACTATTATCAAGGTCTTGAATATTTAGGAATATTTAGGAATATTTAGGAATATTTAGGAATATTTAGGAATACTTAGGAATATTTAGGAATATTTAGGAATATTTAGGAATATTTAGGAATATTTAGGAATATTTAGGAATATTTAGGAATATTTAGGAATATTTAGGAATATTTAGGAATATTTAGGAATATTTAGGAATATTTAGGAATATTTAGGAATATTTAGGAATATTTAGGAATATTTAGGAATATTTAGGAATATTTAGGAATATTTAGGAATATTTAGGAATATTTAGAAATATTTAGGAATATTTAGGAATATTTAGGAATATTTAGGAATATTTAGGAATATTTAGGAATATTTAGGAATATTTAGGAATATTTAGGAATATTTAGGAATATTTAGGAATATTTAGGAATATTTAGGAATATTTAGGAATATTTAGGAATATTTAGGAATATTTAGGAATATTTAGGAATATTTAGGAATATTTAGGAATATTTAGGAATATTTAGGAATATTTAGGAATATTTAGGAATATTTAGGAATATTTAGGAATATTTAGGAATATTTAGGAATATTTAGGAATATTTAGGAATATTTAGGAATATTTAGGAATATTTAGGAATATTTAGGAATATTTAGGAATATTTAGGAATATTTAGGAATATTTAGGAATATTTAGGAATATTTAGGAATATTTAGGAATATTTAGGAATATTTAGGAATATTTAGGAATATTTAGGAATATTTAGGAATATTTAGGAATATTTAGGAATATTTAGGAATATTTAGGAATATTTAGGAATATTTAGGAATATTTAGGAATATTTAGGAATATTTAGGAATATTTAGGAATATTTAGGAATATTTAGGAATATTTAGGAATATTTAGGAATATTTAGGAATATTTAGGAATATTTAGGAATATTTAGGAATATTTAGGAATATTTAGGAATATTTAGGAATATTTAGGAATATTTAGGAATATTTAAGAATATTTAGGAATATATGAATATTAATTTTCAGTGAATTCAAAAACATAAATCCCCTAGTCCAAAGCCTAACCGGAAACATCACAGACTTTATAAAAACTCATACAAACCAAATATCCTCGAATATTCTTCAACTGTGCGACCAAATTCGCTCAGCAAGAACAGAAGATTGCTTAAAACTTAGTTCGATACTCTTCACACATTGGCAAGAAATCCGACAAGAAGTTCTCTCCAAAGAAATAAAAAACCTAGTCAATAAATTGGAATACCCAAATTCTGAATTAGATCTTAGGGCTACTATCACAGGGATAACTTCCATAGCTTTAAGAAACGAAGAGATAGTGGAGCTATTTACCAAAGCTGACGTGGTTCCGATTCTGCTGATCCTTTGTGAAAAATGCGAAGGTTCTTCTGTCAGAAGTCTACTCTTGAGAGCCTTGTCAACGTTGTGTAGTAGCTCTTCAGCCGTTAGACAGTTCGAGAAGTTTTCTGGGGTTCAGATTATTGCTGATATTTTGGACGAGCATTCCAGGCCAGAACCAGAGAGATCCGAAGCAGTAGCTTTATTGGCTCAAGTTACCGCTCCTTGGCTAGAAGATAATCATTCAGTTAAAGGTAATTTGCAAATATGAAGAAAGTCAGTATAATATCTTAATAAATATATTTTTTTAAGGTTTGCAAGATTACTCCAAAAAATTAGTTCGTTCTTTAACGAACTTCGCAGCCACTACAAGATGTTGTCAAAACCTCCTTCTTTGTACAGCTGCTCTAGCAAATTTAAGTACTATGGATTCTAAATCGATCAAACATATGATTAGTTGCGATACAGCCAGCGTACTCATGGAAAGTATTGAATCTCGAGGTCCTGGAGCTTCCATCTATCTTCTAGAACAAGTAGCAACTTTACTGGCAAATCTATCAGCCGTGGACGTGGCGAGAAAGCAGTTGACTGAAATCAATGCTCCAGCAGCGTTACTATACTTTCTTAAAATTAATTTTGCTACGGTTAGTATGACATTTTATTATCTTTCTACTCTTTTCTATTAGAAGTTATTTTTTCCAACTGTAACTCTTCATTTTACATGTACATAAACACATGTAAATACATCAATTTGGTATACAAAAAAACCAAAAGAAAAAATCATATAAGATACAAACTATAATAGTTATCCAAAGTCAAAACAGTTTTCTTACTTTTGCAGCATGTAATTCTTGATGTTGTGTTACAGGACATGGGTAGCCAAGATGTAGAGAAAAGACTGCAACAAAAGAGTATTATCGCTCTGTCTAGGTTATGTGGAGAAAAGGAAGCTTCGATGCAAGTTGTAAAGTTAGGAGGTGTAGAAAAACTAGTCAAAATGTGTAGGGAGAAAGAAGAAAGGTTCGATAGTGATGCTGTATTGGTGGCTGCCTTGGTAAGTTTTAGAATGATATTCACGCATATATAGGTATATTAAATGTGCCCGTCAAGGTATAGATGAAGAATCACTTTCACACAAGTGATGTACAATATTTTTCCAACGATCCCAAAATAATTTTATCAAAAAAATGTAAAACTAGGAAATCTGGCTATAAAGACTCCATTAAAATGTGGCTGATTTTAGTTTTGTTTTTTTATATGCCTTATTGAATCATTTTTAAAACGCATAAAAACATTAGGTTCAAAAAATATTAGAATACATTAATATTTTCCATTAGTTTAGTTTTTTAAACAAATAAGTTAAACAACCGTGAACAAAAACACAAGAGTAGTTTGTGCAACAAGAGTGGATATGATGGCCAATCCACTCGAGTTGTGCAGAATATTTTTTCTACGACCCACTAATAAAAATTTACAAATAAAAAAAATATTTTAGGTTATTAAGACAAAATAACTAATTTTAAAATAATTTGACTTTTAATAATTTTTAAAATAAAATAAACGAAAAGAAAAAAAAAGTTTATTTAATTATTCCTCATCCGAGAATCGAACTCGAATCTTGAGTGTGGAAGGCAAGGACGCTAACCACAGAACCACCTATTTTTTTTATTTTTGTTGCTTTAATATTCGTAATTAAATTGACTTCATAAAGTTTTATTTAAATTAACAAATTATTTATAATTATAGACGAAATTAAAACAGAAATGCTATTATTTATCGTTTCTACACAAAAATAACCTATTATAATGTATGTTTAATCTCAATAACTAAAAAATATACTGACAATTAGTTTGACAGAATTGTAACTTATTTAAAATTTTAAAAATAATAGCAGTCGGTTGATCAAAATATGAACGGTGATTTGTGGATTTAATTTTTTTGTAGTGATCTCACTACCTAGAATGGATATGAAATATCAGTTGAAGGCAATAGCATACTTTTTCGTTTTGTAATCTGTGCGTAGATAAGCTAATAGATATCTATACGGATGTAGAAAAAAATATTTCAGTATTTACCTCGTTTTTTATTATTATTTAGGTAATGTGGAAACATACAATTTGTTTACCATTCAAATGAATAACATTACTAAACTTGTCTGTATATTTTTCGTCAGGGGCGTGCGGTCCATGGAAGCGGGGGAAGCACCGCTTCCCTACACTTTGAGATTTAAAAATAAATATTTTTCAGTTTACAATGTATAGAAATTAATATTAAATTAGGTACCATATTTTCTCTTAAACATTACGTAAACTTCGTAAATGTACTAACAACTTATTGGTGTAATGTGTAAACGCACGCACCACCCATGAGAAAATTAATTGTGTAAACGCACACACCATATAGGTACTTCAAGTCCGTCGGCGGAAGCGCCTCTTGAAAAAGCCGGCTCATCTTCCAATTGATTTCGCTTAATCTTATTAACCCTGCTTTGCCGCGACACAGTAGTCAGTCTGTTTGGGCACGTGAAATACGGTCGAGAGGCAGCGATTTTTACGTCGCCTTACGCATATGGCACCGCGAATTAACGTGTGAGGAAAATCGTAGACTTTAGACAGATTTCGGTTTGTTTTTCGTAGTTGTTTTTCTTTTTATAAAATTGAGGAATTAGGCACTGTGCCTATGAACAATAATAATGTGGTAAATTGTGTCTGTATTGTGTGCTCTTTATTAAAAAAAGGATTTTCAAGTAGAAATTTTGAAGAGAAAACGGACATTATTAATTCTAGTAGACTAAAGGATCCTATCAATTTAGAGACGAAGGTAGAAAAGTCAGCAAATAAATTTACCAGGCATTTTGACGTAGGGTTCTATGAAAAGTATGAATGGTTAACCGGCTGCAAAACTTTGAAGAAATTGTTTTGCTGGCCTTGCCTATTTTTTAATATAGCCGAAAAAACACATTGGAACTCAGTCGCTATTACAGACTTGAATAATTTCCACAAAAGTATAAAACGACATGTAAATAGCAAATCTCATATAATTGCTACAATTAAAGAAAAAACATTCGGGACCTATCGCATTGAACATAGTTTGGACAATCATTTAAAAATAATCAACAAAATTCACAAAAAAAAATAGGGACATCTTACAATGATTAATAGATGTAACTTGTTTCCTGGGAGAGCATGAACTATGTTTTACGAGTCACAATGAAGCAAGTAGATCCGCCAATCGAGGAGATTACATGGACCTTCTAAGTTTTTTAGCAAAATACGATGATACCCTAAACAATCATTTTATTGATTCGACGACTTTCCGAGGTACCTCAAACAGAATCCAAAATTATTAAATTAAAAAATCGTATCAATTGCGCTTGATGAAACCACAGATGTAGCAAACTTAAGTCAATTATCCATTGTTGTGCGATATGTATTGGATGGCACTCTTCAAGAGCGATTCTTAGGATTTTTGGACGTCACTAGCGAACGAACTGCAGATGCATTGTTTAAAATTGTTTGTGACAGTAGGTCTTTTCCTTTACATCGAAAGTGTAGCACTGAGCTATGTCACTCCTAAAAATATCGTTCTATCCATACAATTTGTATAAATGGAACGATATTTCCAGAAGTGGGGTAGCTTAGTGCTACATTTTCGATGCAAAGGAAAAGACCTATTATTTCAAGTTTAGAATGTGGTTCTAAGCTTGTTGCCCAGAGCTACGATGGTGCTGCCGTAACGGCTGGCAATTTAGGAGGCATTCAAGCTAAAGTAAAAGAGAAGTTTATACATGCAATTTTCGTTCACTGTATAACACATAGACTTAATTTGGTTTCATCGCGAAGCATGGATAATATTAAAGATTGCAAAGTTTTATTTTCGACGCTTAGTGGTTTGGCTTCCTTCTTTTCAAAGTCATCGAAAAGAACTCGCGCTTTGGACATTCACGTTCAAAAAAGGTTTCCAAAAGTTGCTCCGACGCGATGGAACTACAATGGACGTTTAGTGCAAACAGTGTTTTAATACCGTGATTCTTTGATACACTTTTTTTCAAGACGTTTGGGATAATAAAGAAACATGGGATGCTGAAACTGTTACTGCTGCTAAAGGGTATTTGCATTGGCTCAAACAAAACTTTGATTTCAATTTTTTGCTCAACATTTTTGCAGAGATTTTCCCTTTTACTGACATTTTATTCGACATTTTACAGACAAAGTCAAATGACATTATGGCTTTTGCATTAAACAAACTGATGATTTTAAAAATAAAATGAATAAAAAACGAGATCAGTTTGAACACTTTTGGAATAAGACTCAAAACATTGGCTTAGAACCTGAAAGAAAGAGAATTAGAATTGATAATGTTGGCGTCGTCGATTATACGCCGAAATTTTTGATAATATTTTACAACAAATGAACTCTCGATTTCAAAACTTTAACGAATTAAAATTTGTTGAATTTTGCAATTTTAATATTAGTAACTACGATTCATCAAAATTTCCATCGAAAGCTTTTAATTCACTAAAATTAAATTATGGAATTTTTTTCGATATTCCAGCATTAAAGTCCCTGTTAAGTGTTGTTTATGTCATAACTGAAATTAGTGATAAAAAGACGTCCATCAATGTGTTAATTTTTCTTATAACAACTGGTTTAAATAAGTCCCTTTCTGAAGTCGTCAAGTTGTGTGAATTAGTACTAACCATCCCAGCCACAAGTGCGTCAGTTGAGCGAAGTTTTTCAGCTTTAAAGCGCATTAAAAGTTTTATACAAAATTCAACAAGTGGAGACAGACTTCTAATTTAGCCCTAATATCCATTAAAAAACAGCTTGTTAAACAGTTATCAGAAAATTTTACGACGATGTTATAGACAAATTTGCAGCCATTTAGGATAGGCGAATAGATCATACGTATAAATAAATGTCAACTGCTGTGTCAACTGTGCGAAAAATGCTGGAAAAAAAATAAAAAAAACTTCAGTTAAATTTTTTTTACGTTTAAATATACCAAGGAAGCTTTTTAATGGTAAGTTTTTTTATAGCTTCTAGTACTAAACTAGATAATAAAGTAATAGTAACACTTCAAAAATCTCAATCTCGAATATCCGTTGTACTGAGAAAGAAAAAACAAGAATTTGTCAAAATGGTGAAGGTGCCGCGAAAAATTTTCGCCTGCGGCGCTGTGCTTACTGGTATGCTGTATTTTTATACAATCGCTTCCCCTTCCAAAAATATCTCCGCACGCCACTGTTTTTCGTTATATATCCTGACCGACATTGTAGTTAAATGTTTTAATTTTAAATAAGTTTATCAAAAATTTGGTCATTGGCTTCCATAATTATTTTCTAGAATTAATTTTGAAACATAAAACAAATGTTTCTAATTATATGTATATAGTAGGGTGATTCATTTCCGCAAAATTTTCTTTTTTTTTTTCGGTTTTCAATCAAAATATTAATCTACATATAGAAAAAAAAAATTCTCCCCAAATTTGAGCTCTTAATATCAATTTTAAGTACTTACTATTTAAATTTAAAGTTTTACCATTTAAAATGCATGTAAAAAAATGTTGTTTTTTTTTATTTTCTAATGCTTACCCACCTTTTAAAATATTGCAAATCGGTTTGATGTACCTTGTGGGGAATTTCAAGCTCTTCGAAATTATATTCGTTATGAGTGAGAAATCATAATAATTCTAAAAAAAGTTCTTAGTGTAGGGAAATATAATGGCAATCAATAGAAAAATATAATCTAAATAACATTATGAGTTATCAATTTCTTACATTTTCAGGTTTACAAATGGCTGTAAATTCATTAAATATTGGTCGAATAATTTTTTTTTATGAGTCAGTCCTTCTTTTCTCCCTACTTTTGGCGATTTGCCCAAAAAAAATGAAAAAAAAAGTTTTTTTCACAAACTGTGTTTTGATGACTCCTACTGGTGAACCAGTGCGAGTTACACAAAGAAACTATGAAGCAATTTCGAAGAGCATGAAATTCCCCACAAGGTCCATCAAACCGATTTGCATTATTGTAAAAGGTGGGTAATCATTAGAAATTAAAAAAAAAATTTACATGTATTTTAAATGGTAAAACTTTAAATTTAAATAGTAAGAACTTAAAATTGATATTAAGAGCACAAACTTGGTGATTTTTTCTATAGGTAGATTAATATTTTGCTTGAGTACCGAAAAAGAAACTTTGCGGAAATGAATCACCCTAGTATATGGTAATTAAAAAAAACATTTAACTATATATTTTTTATACTGTGTTTTTGTTTAAAAAATAGCCAGTCCAAATAACTTTTGTTCTAGAACTGTGTTTTGTTAACAACTGATTTTAAAGTTAAGAGGGTCAGATCTGGAAATCATAATCTTGTTATTTGAATAAAACAGTATTCAGTATCTTGCTCCTGGACTAAATATTATGTGCTAAAATCCAAAAATTTTGTTTAAAGTTGATTAACTCGATTTTTTTAAAACTTTAATTTGCCATAATAAGTTTTCAAGAAAGGATAGAAGGATGATGATGTTATGGTAATGCTTGAAACCCGATCATTAACTGATTTGAAATGCGCCCATAATATAAACATTTTTATTTGAGTTAAATAACATGAAATCAAATTTGGACTGACTAGTTTTAAGTTCAATAATAAATTTTTATAAATTAGTCAAGCTTTTGTAAATATTATAAATACCTACATAAACTATTGCCTTTATAATTGATTACAACACTTGAAGTCAATTTAAAATTATCGTCAATTAACGAATTTGTTGTTTATTTCAGGCAACACTTAGGAAAATCGTCGATATGTGCGGAAGTGACGTCTTAAGTGCTCAAGATGCCCAAGAGTTGGTAGAACCGAAACTACTTGACTCATTTCTAGCTTACTCGTCCCAAAATGAAAGCTACGTTTGATACTTCTGGTATTTATTTATAAATATATAACACAACTCTTATTGAATTATCCCTGGAAAATGAGGAATTTGTTATATCTTTTATGATACATTGTGTAATTGACACTACTCTAACTAGACTGACTGGCTATTTAATTTTTATCTATGGAGCCACAAAAAATATTTCTAAAGTAAGTCACTGAAAAAAACATGCATGTCAGCATGCCGGAACATACAAATCTTCAGGGCTGAGATACCAGCCCTGCAAATCTTCTTCTTTTTATATGACAGTTCGGGCATGTCTCATATCTGTCTTTATCGGTCATGGCCTACTTTAGAAGCATTTTTTTTTGTAATACTCGTTATAAAAGTATATTAAACGATACCAATTTTTTTTACTACTAACATGAGTAATCACCATTATTTACTCCATTCCTCTAATGAGAAGTAATATTTCTTAGCCTAGCTAAATATTGATAATAAAAAAACACCTAGGTAAATAATGAAATTGAATTCCATTAGTTTCATTTGGTTAATTTGACAACTAAACTCCCAGATTACTCGATATTTCGAAATATTTAAAAAACAAGTAGGAAATAACTAAAGCTGGGTTTATCAAAATCTAATCAAATCAAATATGGTAATATATCAGTAGTAAAAAAAGTCTATGGTCCATTTGCACCACTGATAGTTAAGAAATAAGCCAAGCTTAAAATAACATTTTTCAACTGACAATGTCAATTTAAACTTAGCTTATTTCTTAACTACTAGCGGTGCGAATGGCCCTAAATATTTTGGTTGAGAAGGCTATTATAAACCTCATCGCAAATTATATATAAAAGTGCTCGGTAAATAATAGCTCGCTTTTCGACCTATAAGTGTATAATGTACTATTAAACAACAGTCGAATAATTTGGCTATATTTTTTTCAGTGTATTTTCTCCTTCCAAAAATATTTATTATTTATTTTAATAATATTCTGCCATATTTTGTTTTTAAGTTTTCTCTAATTTTTATAAATGTTTTTGTATTTATTCAAATAATTTTATGTTTGTTGAGTTTTAAATAAAAAATGATATTAGTAAGACAATTTTTAAATATTTCACTTGACATTATTTATTTATAAATTAAATCCATTTTATATAAAAGAAACATCCCTTTTTTTCGATTTCATGTTACCAAATACCTAAACCAATTTCTGTAATTGTAAATATTAAAATAATTTAATCCTTGTTTGTGTTTTATTCAATCTTAAAATTTTTCGAATAAGCCGTAGAATATAGTAGACATCAGAAAATTAAAAGATTTAAATAGACAATTAATTATAATTTTACTATATTTTTCAACATCCCTTACATGTTTAGCAAGGACTAGATTAGAAAAAAAATAGATAATCTTGTAGTATAGTTGGAAAATAATACGCATGTCCGACACCATTGCTGCTCCGTCTCGTTCTGTACCATTTGTTTTAAATCTAGGAAAAAGTAAATTTGGGTTATTTTAGGATGATGTCAAATTTTGATAGCAATGAACATTTTTAGAAATGAATAAAAATATTCTTTAACTTCTGATTATTTTGTTTGTTTTTTGTGAATCTAGATTTTCCTTGTCCTCAAAATTAAAAGATAAAAGCAAACGGAAAAACAAGAATGGAAATCTGCAACAAGGTATAGGTGTAAAATTCAAATTCTAAATGTCAGTAATGCCGAGATCGTTCAACTCTTTCCGCGTGCGCGGAATTACACTATCGCCACATACTTTGATTACTATGCGGTGCAAGAGAGAGGTCCAACCAACCACATACTTTGATTTTCTCTTACTATACGGAGAATGGTCGCACTGCGCAGCTTGTGCCTTTTAAAAGGAGATAGAAAACTCCGCCATTTTGATGCCTTACTACGTGTTGCCTACATCTTGGCGCAATATTTTAAATATTTTGCTTGCTGCTGTCCGTGTAACAGAATATTATTTTTGGAGTCACAGTTTATTGCTGCCCAACATAGGGCGCGGCCATTTTGTTGCCTTTACCACAGTTTATAGCTAAAGAATCAGTTCGCTCACTCTGCGTCGGCACTTTTATTCTCAATGTTCCAGTTTATACACTGCGCAACTCGGATAATACAATATATGACAACCGCCTATAATAAAACAGCAGTCTTCTGCGCATCCTGAATTTGTATCCCTGGAATGGATGTTATTTTGGAACTTTCAACTAGTCCGAGTGAGCTAATTGATTCTTTAGCAATAAACTGTGACTCCAAAAATAATATTCTGTGACACTGACCGCAGAAAGCAAAATATTAAAAATATTGCGCCAAGATGTAGGCAACACGTAATAAGGCATCAAAATGGAGGAGTTTTCTATCTCCTTTTAAAAGGCACTCAGAAAGCTGCTCAGTGTGACCATTCTCCGTATAGTAAGAGAAAATCAAAGTATGTAACTCTTCCGCGTGTAAACTCTATTACGTTCAAATAGGGCAGAGCAGAGGACATGGAGTAAATTATCCTGCACCACCTCGGCGAGAGGTGTCTCAGGAGAAAGCTTGCGCAGTAATTCATACTCGTTCGTTGTTTTGCGATTTGTCGATACTATCTTTAATTTTCCTACATATTATAAATGTGCAGATTTAATTCTATTTTGCTTGCAAATGGGAATAAATATGGAAATGCAATGCTGCTGTTATGCAAGAAAATGGTACATATTATATCAGGAAACAATAAAATATTGCTTATTGAACAGAATATTTATCTATGAAAGAGTTGCTGGTTTCAAACGAAAATTAAATACAAATACAAATTAATCATGATTCATATTAGTTAATGTGTTTTCGGCAAAATTACAAATGTTTTCCCTCATACCATATTTCTACTGCAAATTTATTTATAATCCACATAAATTTATATCAACCGCAAACATAAAAATAGGATTATTATTTTATATAAGGTTATGATTTGATGATTATTATTTCCAAACTCCCAAACAGAAGTAGCGTTCAAACTCTTTTTGATTCCGATGCTACGTGACCAAAATTTAATCCTGCAGCAGTAAAATTAATATTCGCTTAAACTTCAAGATTTACAGAAAATGGGTCCTATGATTGAACGTTTACGTTATCCGTAACGTACATGTTAGGCCGAATTTTAAAAGTAACGAGGCAAGTTCGTATGATGGAAACCTGTTAAATTAGAACATAACAGGCGGAAAATAACAATAATGTGTTATGAAAGACTTTACATCATACGAATTTGTCTCTTTACTGTTAAAACTCGGCCTAACATGTACGTTACGGATAACGTAAACGTTCAATCATAGCACCCAATATTTAATCATGAATTAGTTAGTGCTGGTGCTGCTGTCACGCACGTTTGGGCACGTACCTTCCTGTTTATGTCCATTTTATAAAGAAATGATATTGGTGGCGCCATCTATTCAATATTCTTCTAAGTTATTGTATCGATTATACAATTTGACAGCAAATCATTATCGGCATTGTAATTTGAACTACTGGGATTTTGATCTGATGAAAAACCGTTTAATACATCCATCAGCCAGTCAAATGTCACTAATGTCAGTGTCAAAAATGACAACTGAGTAAAAAATTCTACAAGTTTATCCCGTTCAAGTCTCTTTAATTTATTAACTTAATTAAAAATGGGTTTAATCGGTATCTTCTCCTAATCCATCTCCAAAACAATGGTGATGATGATGTTGTTTGACAAATCGTTTTATACCCTTTTTGTCGAATTTGATTTTTGATTGGAATCAGAGATAAATTTTGGAGCACACTGAAAAGCAACTTAAGGACTAGATGCCGCCCTGGCGGCGCTCCAGCCAGAACCTTGGCCAGGATGCTCAACCTAGAGCAGGAAATTGGAGCCTGGGATTCTGTCCTGCTTGAACCCTTAACCGAAGACTCCTTTGTAGGAAATTTGCAACAGCGTTTTAAGAGAGACCACATCTATACTTACATAGGAAATGTGCTCATCTCAGTTAATCCCTATAAAAAACTTGCCCTTTATTCTGCTGATCTCGTCGAGGCCTATGTTAAAAGAGGACCATTCCAGCTGCCACCTCACATGTAAGTTTTCATTCTTAACATTTTTGTTCATTTGAATTGTACTTTGGGCCACAATAATTCAGTAGTCTTAATTCATTATTCCCTAGATAGAGATTTCAATAATAAAGTAAAAAATACATTTTGCACATTTATCTGAAAGTGTTCAAATACTGTCTGCTCTGTAAGTTGTGTAGCAAGGGGAAAACCACAAAAATAAACACCAAAGTAAACCAGAATTTCACCAAGGCCTCCTTTAATACTCTTTGTGATATAAAATACTGAATATGTATTTACAAAATTACCTAGTAAAGTATTTTGATAAAAAAAAAACATTCTCAAATAGGTATAACAGTATTTTTATTATTAAAATAAAAGGATTCCCTATTAATACAAATATTTAGTTAAATAATTGATTTTAACTCTACATAAATATCAGATAAATGAATATCTTTTGAATCATTAGAACTATGATGTTATTAATTATTATACAAGAGCTCTGAATGTTTGCTAAAACTAAACAGGAACTATTTAACCCAATAATATGGGTTTTCATATTATAAACAGATCTCAGCCAAGTCTGACTCAGCTGAGTCTTCCTCAAACGAGAATTGAAGTTCATGTGAATTTAGAGATGGGTAATAACAAATTCGTAAATGTACTTAACAGATACAGAATTACAATTATCAATCTCTAAATTTTGGTGTAACACCGGAACCACCTGGAACTTAGAAGGAATTGTAATGGAACTTCCATTTTCATTCAAGCGCCACTCACCCAAGTCTGACTCAGCTGAGATCTGTTTATAAATACACCCTAGTGATGCTTCAGAGATCTTACTTTTTACTTATGTTGTTAGATGAAGATACTGGGACAATAACTTACAGATTCTTGTAAGGTGATGATGAATGTATTAATGTACAATGTACATTCCTTCTGTTTTACATTTACTCATATTAACCTTATTTTTAATAATACATAAATATTTTACAGGAAGTGTCCTTAATTTGAATAACTTGTCTCTGAGTTAGACCTAATGACTATATCTTTTTATAATGTGATTTAGTTCCTTTCACAGTATTTAAGTTTATGCATTTTTAATACTTTCAAATTGACTTAGATGATTTTATTAACAATAGTAGTACTTATTTGGTGTTTTCTGAATTGTTTAAACACTTTCAATGCGATACCAGTCATAGGGATCTTATTCAAAAACACTGTACTAGGCGCATGTGTCTGGTGAGTGATTTTTTCATTGCAGTGGTACCAGATACATATGCCTGGTATGCTGTAGGAAAAGCTGTTCTCAAGATACAGCTTTCGATGCAACATAATAGATGACACAATCACTGCCTGGTGTAACATAATGAAGACATATGCGACTGGTAACATAGCAAATGTGTTAAAGAGTAATATTTTCTAGATATGGCATTGCTGGTACAGCTTATAGATGGCTAAATGACCGAAATGAGGATCAATGCATAATTGTAACAGGTAAAAATGTATTATAATATAACTAGAGACTAAAAACTCAATTTCGAACACAGTAATAATAATCAATTACTTTTCATTGAGATATCTTGTCACTTATTAATATACTTATACAGTGATTTATTTTTAAGCATATTTTTAAATTCCTATCAACATTTTAATTATTACTATGCTCTATTATGAAATTTAAAAGTATTTTACTCTTCATTATAAATCATTATTTTTATTTTCCCTGTATACTACCTACATTTTACAAAATGTAATACTTGATTATGGATTCACAAGTGATGCAGAACTTTTAATCAAAAATATATTTATTTTTTTTTTAAATGTAAGATACAACTTACCCATTTGTATAAAACTTTTTGGTATTTATAGTCAATGACCCTTTTCCATATTTTTAGGGGAGAGTGGATCTGGAAAAACAGAAGCTGCTAGAATAGTTTTACAGTTCCTAGTTTTAGTATCTGGTGATAGTCCTGAAACTAAAATTGTGAAGGACCGTTTAGTTCAAGCTAATACACTTTTAGAAGCTTTTGGAAATGCCAGAACTGTGAAAAATGATAACGCCTCAAGATTTGTAAGTCCATTTAATGTTAAATTTGAATAAAAAAATATATAATTGAATGTTTCCGTTTTTTAGGGAAAATTCCTAGATATTGAATTCAATTTCAGAGGAGATCCTATAGGTGGCCACCTTAAACATTGTAAGTAATTTTCCTGTTTGTTAAAATGATATGTGTTTTGACAAATTAGATATTTATTTTGTCATATTTTTTACTTTTGTTTTTTAAATACTTGGTTTTTTAAATTAAAAATGTTTTCATGCTCACAGATTTTCTTGATAAAGTAAGTAAACGATCTCATTCACAAATAACATTGACTTTTAATTGGCTATAAAAAATATGTATTTAATCATTGTTGTTTTGAAATTAGGCAAGAATTACCAGTCTCGCATCATCAGACAGAAATTTTCACATCTTTTACCAACTTTTGTCAGGAGCTGATATTCATTTACTAAGTAAGTACAATTATAAACTGTCAAAAAATTATGTATTTAAATTATAATATGGACCGCATTATGCAATTCAAAATTTCGAGTAAATGGTGCCATCCTTTAATAATCATTGAAACTTATATTATAAAACTTATTCTTATTTAAAATTCCCTATTTCACCGATTTTAAGGACATTTTCATATTTGCCAAGGAAATACTAGTTTTCTATTCCTGTTTCTCGAAAACACGTAATTGTCGCTTAGTTCACAATTACATAACGTGGTCCATATATTGTGTTTATATAATTTAATATATATAATTCCACTACCAAATTTGCCAAATAATTTTTCTTTTAAGATTTTTTATAACTGATAGAATCAAGTTTAATTTTAATTGTTTTTTACAAGGATTTATATTAATGTAATATTTTAGAAACCCTCAAGTTACAACGTAACGTGGAACTCTATACCATTTTATTAACAGAAAATAACCAACCCACCCTATCCGACGATGAAGACAAATCATTGTTTGTTTACACAAGAGGTGCTCTAGAATTGCTTGGATTTACCGATACCGAAATTATAGATATTTTTCGCGTTTTAGCAATTATTTTGAAATTAGGTAATTTGCAGTATGTGCCTTGTAGTAACATTGACGGTACTGAGGGTTGTTCCATAAATAATGATTATGGTAAGTAAGATATTAACTAAATTTATATATTTAGTTATTTACAGGTCAATGTTCATTAAATTAATTACAATATATTATGTTATTTAAATTTACATACATTAAAAATAATAAAAGATACATTAATGTAATAATAATTAATAGAAAATAGCAAAATATATCAAAAATTATTAACTAGGTACAATATTAAAAATCATTAATTATTAATAATTGCTGAGCTAGCTAGAAAATTTTATAGTGGATGAAATAAAATCCATTTCACACTGATAAGCTGACCTAAGATTCTGGGAATGAATGGGCAGATTAAGCATCTGCCCTTTTAACAATTTCGCTCACAGAGACTAATAGCGGCACAACTAAAAAACTTCGAAAATTATAGATAAATGTAGCATCAAACGTGTAATTTAATACCTTTTCTTCGATCAAGACTGGCACAATTTTAGTTAGCATATATTCCTTAAGTTGGCGAATGTGTCACTAAAGTATCTTAATAAGCTTTGTATTTATACTGCACCAACAGTGGCACATTATCAGTATGCCATTTAATATTTTAGAGGAGGTTTCCTTATGTTTGGGCAATAGTGACACTTTTGAGTTGTGTGAATTGATTTAGTAATAAAAAAAATAGTGACACATTTTTAAATATGCCAGTATAGACTGTAATTAATGGTCTAGTGAACAGTAGCACACCTTATCAAACTCAAAAAACAAAAATCAAACCAAATCATTATCTAAAACTAAATCATAATCTACATCAAACTTGGAATTCCTATTTATGCTCTTAATCAACAAAAATTTTAAACTCAATTTTCTTCAACATTACTATTTTTAAAATATGCTATTATTGAATTTGGTGATCGATTTGTATTATACACTGGCCAGCAAAATTAACGCACCACTACTATATTTTGAAAAATATTTTTTATTTCATAATGTTGATCAAATATTTTTATGTCTTAATTAAGTATATTCTTATTCTAACTTAATAAGGGTATTTCCAAAAGAAGGCAAGAAAAAAATAAAGAAAAAAAAACAAGAAAATTCAAAAAATAAAAATATTAACTTTAGTTAAAAATAATTAATAACGGGTATTTCCTCTTCTATTTTGAATAACAGCTCGGCAGCGATTATTTATGCTTAAAATTACGTCCCTATCCATTTTCATCCAATTTATTCCATATTTGGACAATATCTCCAGTAAGCTCATTCAAAGTGTTAGGAGGGTTAGGAAGTTCTTGAAAATGGTGGTAAATCATGTCCCAAACATTCTCAATTGGGTTAAGATCAGGACTGTTTGCTGGCCAATCCATAGTTTCAATTCCAACCTCATTAAAATAATTTTGTACAATCTGAGCAACATGTGGTCTAGCATTATCTTGCTGAAACAAATATTCTCACCAATGTAAGGGCCAAATGGTATCACATGTTCTTGCAGGATCTCTCTTATGTACCTATCTGCTGTTAAACTGCCATTATTAATAACCACCAAGTCAGTACGAGCAGTTAAAGAGATTCCTCCCCAAAATATAACTGACCCTATACCAAATAATCTGGTGTTTTGGAAGTTACATTGGGCATATCTTTCATTTGGTCTTCAATAAACTCTTATATGTCTATCTGAGTTGTATAGACAAAATCTGCTTTCATCTGACCAAAGAACTGTTTCCCAATCTTCATCAGCCCAATCGATGTGTGCTCTCGAAAAATTTAACCTTGCTCTACGATGCTCTGGGGTCAAAGCTGGTCCTCGCGTTGAGATTCTTGGTCTCAGATCAGATTCAGCTAGGCGTAGACGAACAGTATCAGATGCAATTCTGAGTCCATCTGCTTCCTGTAGCTGTGTCTGCAGCAATCTTCCTGTCACAAACCGTTGTCTTAAATCAGAGACTCTTAAAAAACGGTCTTGAACTTGCGTAGTTATGCGATGTCTGCCTTGACCAGGTCTTCTTAAGTGCTGACCTGTCTTCCTATAATGTTCGATCATACGAGAAACGGATGTATGCGATACACCAAATCTCTGTTCAATTCTGCGAAAGCTCCATCCCTCTTCCAGCAAAATGACTGCCCGGGGCACACTCTTCAAATTTCTAGATTGGCGTTTCATAATAAACACTTTACTTCACTGTACCTCACAAATGTAAATTTTCAGTGCAAATGATAAATTTTAGCAATACAACCTAAAGAAAAAGAGGTACCTATGGTAATTCAAATTTTATCTGAATTCCAACAAAATAAAGATAAGGTAAATAGACTTCGATAAAAAAAACCGACTGTATAAATTTAGAATGTGTGTACTATGGCAGTTTAAAATAAAAATATATATTTTCATTTTTATATGAATATCCAAAAATAATTCGAAATAATTTACTAGTGCGTTAATTTTGCTGGCCAGTGTAGTTTATTTTGTATTTTTCATATGCCAATAAAATCATGTTTATTTATGCCTTGATGATCTAACAGGAACAGACAGGCCAATTTTAGATAGTTCAATGGAACAATCCACGAAACAGCTGATTATATCAAACCGTCTGTTGTTGCACCACTGGAATAAATTATTTTGTAGACTTAAGAGACCCAAGCTTCATACAAACTTTTGAGTCGCCAGCAAAGTACAAGAATTATATTTAATTCTTATGTATACGTTTCTTAAATTATTAAAATGCCACAGTACTGAATCAGACGAATTACTAAATTAATTTTGTCAATAATTAACAATCAGATATTTCATTTTATTGTGTATTTTTTTATGAAGAAAAATTGTTATTGGGTGCAATTTTATGATAAAATACCACTATTAACAATTTCATGTTGGTCACATTGACTAGGCTTTGAAATCTTCATCTTTTTTTCTTTCTGTTTTTAATTTATAATGCCTTACAGTTTGGCAGTCGGTTGTGGAAACTACACTTTTTGCTTATCACATCAGCGTTTTTAGAGAATGTTAAAACTATGTTCAAACAACGGTAAAAGTACGTTGAAACTATGTTAAAGCAATATATAAGAATAAGAAGTCGAAACTCCTCTATACATAAGTTGAATAGAAAACAAAAATGTATGGTAATTGCCTATTTCAGTGAATTAATTAGGAAAATTAATAATTGGTTGTTCATGTTCTGCCCTGTGCATTCCAGTAACGATACATTTTTAAAAACACATAATTTTAAAACTGTCCCACTTCTCAGGATCGTATTTGATATATTTACTTTTCTATTATTTCAGAATTGTTCGAGGTCTGTGAACTGTTGGGAGCAGACCCCAGATGGCTACAAAGGGCTTTGATAACTCATCAGATAGAAGACAGTATAATAACAGATTTAAATGCAACAGATTCAGCAAAAATCAGAGATACGCTATGTAGAACTTTGTACAGTCGCCTATTTACATGGCTAATAAATAAAATAAATGATATAATAAAGGTAAAAAGTGATTATTAATTTAATATTAAGTTATCGAATCAACTAATCTTTTTTTAGGCAAAAACATCAGGAAAACGAAAAGAACTGGGTGTTTTAGATCTTTATGGGTTCGAAATTCTAGAAAACAACGGTTATGAACAACTTATGATAAATTACTGTAATGAAAAATTGCAACAATTTATCATTAATTCTACTTTAAAAGAAGAACAAGCGATAATCATTAAAGAGGGCCTAGAATGGGTGAAAATAGATTATTTCAATAATATGTACGTAATAATAATCATTATTCTTTTGTTAAATAGTGTTAATAATATAAGATTCATATTTAGAAATAATATATATATTTTTTAATTTTCAGAGCAATATGTCAATTGTTAGAACATGAGAGTCACGGCATATTGTCGTTATTAGAAGAACCTCATGTTCAGTGTGATGCTGCATATCTAACTAGAGTAGAACAATGTTGTGCTGGTCACTCTCATTGTTTAGCAGCTGATTCTCTACTGCCATTACATAGTTTTCAGTAAGTCGATTTTTGTCTAAAAATTCATGGATAGTTCTTAAAAATCAGATTAAACAACTATTCACGCATTATCACTGTTAACAATGGGTACTATTTCAAAAATTGACAGATACTTATAAATATAAAAATATTTTAAACTTCAAAATGTTAGGATTCTAGTTTGATATGTGTCAATGTTGCCTGGCAATTAACGACAGTCATAAAGGGTTCTACAATAATTAAAACTGCTTTCAATAGTTTTGTGATGCAAACAAAAAATAAATCAACAGATAAAGACACACAGGTCCTGTATACATAAATTCATTGCCTGTAAATATTTCAATTTTCATATACACATATCGCATGCCCACTAAAAAAGCGTCACAACTTAAAAATTATAGTTTTGAGAAAAAACCTTAGATTATTAATAACGCTTCTTTAGAAGGATTAATTTCTGATCGATCTATGGAATTATCTCAAAAATGTGATTTTTTGAGTTGTAACGATTTTTAGCGGGTGTGCGATATCTTATGATGGTGAATGGGGGTTTTCTTCTCCTGTAAGTCAAATGGCACCGCTAATCATCTGTAGGTCGCCCCAGAGCGCGACGGTAAACAATAATAATAGTCGTCCCTTCTCGCCACAAGCTCGGCTAGAAGTATAGCTACACTAGTTCTAGCTCAAATCTTATTTAAATTAGCCTGGAAAATCACTAATGATAAATGACAGGTGACGCCATCTAGCGACAGAAATGAGAGGCGACTGACGTTGTTTCTTTATTGGTGCGTTTGATTTGATCATCGGAGATCTCCGAGCGCTGCAAATGTGTTTGAATTGACACTCCGAGAGATCCCTAAAGTGTTTGTTTTCCTTTGGAGCGAGAACATAGAGCGAGCTCGATGTTCTTAGAGCAGAAGGATCGAGAAGAGGGAGAAATTTGTCTTTGTCGCTACCTTTCTCTTTTTAATTAACCTACAAACAAATTTCAATCTCAAAATTAAAAACCAGACAATAAGTCAACAAATTACTTAGCGGCTTTTGTCTTATACTTATAGCTAAAATATTCGTCATAAAAAATCAAATGTGTGTTTGGAAAATACATTTTTTCTGCCCGGATCTAATCACCAGTAATCACAGTCATGGAGTGAAGCGGGCATTTGAGGTATATGCTGCATTTCAGGGCCATTACCCCTTATTATTAAAAGTTTTTCTATTTTGACACACAAACCAGAAACAAGAATCACAAAAAAGCGAGGTTATGTTTTTTACTCTGTTTTATTTGATTTGATTCAATGCTCTATTGTGACGTCATCACTTCTCGGTATCCTCAACGCTCGTTCGATTGAGTTTCAAATCAAACTACCCTTTCGTGGCTCAAAAATAGTAAATAGAGTTTTAAAAGTTACTAAATCTAGTGACCTTGTTGCCAACATAAAAATCTAGTGGCAAAAGCAGTGTAACCAACCTACGAAAAAAGTCCGAGGAGTAAAAAAAAATACTTTAACGACGGTGAACATAACCCATCATAGTTAAAAAGGTGTTTCTTCTGTCATATATTTTTTCATTATTTCCATTTAATAGGAGCATTCTCCATTAGGGTTGAGGGTACTATATTATTTTTGTTAAACAGTTTCTTGTATTCATTTGGTCGTTTATCGAATGTTCAATGATAAATAGTTCAAATTTTGCATATAAACCAGCTGATATTGTATTTTTTTAGGATTAGGCACTATGCCGGCGCTGTAACATATAGTGTCCATGGTTTTGTTGAAAAAAATCGTGATACTTTGCCGAGAGAAGTCTCCAGGGCAATGTTTCGCTGTGATCACCCGATAATCCCCATGCTATTTCCTGAAGGTAATCCCAAAAGATGTAATCCTAAAAGGCCGGTTTCTAAATCATTTCAACTTCAAGTATCATTAAATTCATTATTGAAAGAGCTGAGCGGTAGACAGGCACATTACATCAGATGTTTAAAACCTAATGAAATGAAACAACCGAGGATTTTTGAGATGGCTCTTATCCAACACCAGGTTTGTAATCGTTTTATTAAACCTTTATACAATTTTTATTGTTTAATTTTGCAATTATTTTCATTTTTGACAAAGGAGTTGTACTTAAATGTGAAAATAGAAAATAGAAAATGATGCAAATGTTTGTGGTGGTACCGCTACGCCTAAAAAGTAGTGTGATAGTACTGCTCGTCCTAAATGTCGGAGATTGTTCGGTGGTGAAGTGTCCGGAGGGGAAAAGTGATGATCTGCACATGATGAAGTGACGATTGGCAGTTAACCAGTGGTTTCGACTTGGTAGACCAACAGTGGGAATCTCATATCGAGACGCCTATCTTCGTTCGACAGACTGCGATTCTTATATATTTTTAGTCGGCATTTTGTTACCTGCTAACCATTATTGTGTTTGTTGTCTATTGTTTCCTTCAGGGCAGTTGTATCTTAATTACAATATAAAGTATTTCACGAAAAGTAGTGTTATATCCAATAACGAATCCTGTATGAGATACCAGTCGCATGTATTGGCGACCAACGTGAGATTGAGCTTACGCACCGATCGTTACTTCTCCCCTCGAACAATTCACAATCGAACTATTTTGGACATTTAGGCCGCGAGTTTTTTCTTTAAAACTGGCACAAGCGCAGTATTGATAAAAGCGCACCTTAAATTTTGACTGGGAATTATCTAACTTATAGGTTGGAGTTGAATTCAAATTAATGTTTCAATTGACAGATGCTTCTGCTCTGATGGTCTATAGATTATGGCATATACTGTATGCATGTGGTTTCTCAATTTTTCTTGATTTATTTTCACCATGTGGTGTGAGGTTAAATTTAAATTTCATAGCGGTACTCGATTTTAAATTTTGAAAAATTCAATAAATTTTTATATTCGTTTTAGGTCCGGTATTTATGTTTATTGCCCACAGTTCAATTGTGGCGTACAGGCCACTGTTATCGTTTGCCCTACATTTATTTCGTTTCACGATATAAAATGATTTCTGGAAACACATGGCCGCGATGGCGAGGTTCTCCGATTGAGGGTGTATCCTTAATTCTCAGGTAAGTTTTATAGTATTAGTAATATAATATCCCTTTCAAACCAAAATACATCATAATCAATTATATTAAATCATAAACATTAAAAAAAATCATAAAAAAAAAACAAAAAAAAAATAACCATAGAAAACCGTAGAAAACCGTAGAAAACCATAGAAAACCATAAAAAAACCATAAAAAAACCATAAAAAAAACCATAAAAAACATTAAAAACAAAAAACCATAAAAATAATCCTAAAAATCATAAAACAAAACATAAAAAAACAAAAAACAAAAACGCATAAAAAACAAAAAAAAAACATAAAAAAACAAAAAACAAAAAAAAAATACATTAAAAACTTATAAAAATCATGATGAATCAAAACAGGCGCTATGAAAACAACACCGACCAGAGACATGGAAGTCATTCTTAGTCTCACTCCCCTTGATATTTACATCAAGGAGGTTGCTCTGACGACAATGACACGCCTCCGCACGGTTGGAATAGAACCTGATGTAGGATCTGGTTAGGCGAGACGTCGTTTTTTGGCAGGAGGCGCTCGATACGCTCCCACTGCTTCAAGCGAACATGGACTCCATCTCACCGAGATATATCTTCCATAAGCCATATAAAGTTATAATAGAAGTAGCAGGTACGATTCATATCTACACCGACGGTTCTAAAACAAAACAAGGCTCAGGATGTGGAATATACTCCAGATTCTTAAACCTAAACATAAAATGGGCTGTGAGCAATAGTGCCAGTGTAGTTCAAATAGAGCTAACGGGGATTCTCATAGCAGCAAAAGAAATAACCAGAAACAATATAACTGGAAGAAACATGCTCATCTATACAGATAGCAGACAAGCACTACTCACCCTGAACATACCACGAATTTACTCAGGGTTAGTACTAGAATGTCACGAAGCTTTGGCCGAAGTATCCATCAACAATGTGGTCAACTTAAGATGGATCAAAGGTCATGCCACATCGAAAGGTAATTGTCTTGCTGATTCACTAGCCAAGAAAGCAGCCAACCAAATACTTTTTGGACCTGGCCCTTCTATTGGCCTGACAAAATCTGTAGTGACAGACCTAATCAAAGAACATTCCCTTGTGAAATTCAAGATAATATGGGATGAAATAAGAAACTGCAGAGTTGCCAGGGAGCTCTTAAGTTATCCTGACAACACTGCAGCAAACAAATACTTGACTATGACTAGACAGAAACTGCGCTTACTCACAGGCATTCTGACTGGTCATTGCCAAGTACGAAAGCATCTCCATATCATGGGGCTGTCAGAATCCGCACTCTGCCACTCTGCAGAGAGTGCGAACAAGAAGATGAGGCCATATCCTTTACGATTGCTCGGCACTCTCATTTATTAGAAGATTTGTGTTCGGCGAGTATCGGCTAACACCGGCCGATATAAGAGAAGCACCTCTTGGCGACGTTGTCAACTATATTAAATCTGTAGGCTGGCTCACGAGCTAGGAGGTACCTATCATCTCAGGAGGGTGCACAATGGGCCTAATGAGGCCTAAGTGCCGTGGGGTAACCCACCCTCCACAAGTTACAGATACAGACAGATGATAAATCATGGTACATCATAATAAATTATAATAAATCATAATAAATCGTAAAAAATTAAAATTCATAAAAAATCAGAAAATCATAAAAAAACAAAAAACATAATAAATCATGGTAAATTATAATAAATGATGATAAATCGTAATAAATCATGTCATAATAAATCGTAATTAATTCATAATAAATCATAAAAAACCATAAAAAACCATAAAAACAAAAAAAAACAAAAACCATAAAAAAACCATAAAAACGAAAAAACAAAAAATCGTGATAAAACATGATAAATCATGGTAAATCATAATAAATCCTGAAAAACCATAATAAATCATGGTAAATCATAATAAATCATGATAAATCGTAAAAAAAATCATAAAATTAATATAAAATCAAAAAATCATAAAAAACAAAAAAGAAACACATAAATCATGGTAAATTATAATAAATCGTAATAAATCGTATTAAATCGTATTAAATCGTATTAAATCGTATTAAATCGTATTAAATCGTATTAAATCGTATTAAATCGTATTAAATCGTATTAAATCGTATTAATCGTAATAAATCGTAATAAACCGTAATAAATCATAATAAATCGGTCATTTCCGATGTTTCAATTTTTTTTTTGTTGATTTAGGTCACTACCAATACCAAGCGCTGAATTCACTTTCGGCAGGACAAAATTGTTTGTGAGGAGTCCTAGAACCGTTTTCGAATTGGAAGATTTTAGAAAAGCTAGATTGCATGATCTAGCCATGTTGATTCAAAAAATTTGGAGGGGTCACAGGGATAAGAAAAAATACAAGAGAATGAAGCAAAGTCAAGTGATAATAGCGTCGGCTTGGAGAAGTTGGAGGGTGAGAAAAGTATTTAAATAAATAAAAACAAAATATTTATTACAAATAATTAACAAAAAAACTTATATTCATAAAATTGCCGTTAAGATAAATACTTTTATGGTCGATTGTAATAAAAAAACTATGTTAAACTAAATTCACAAGGTGTTTTTTACTGTGATTTAATATTGCTAAATTTTAAACCGAAAGATTGAAGGATGATTAAATCGCAAAACATTTGCATGCGGAACAAAATTACAAAAATAAATAATACAATATGTTATCATTTATAAATGATACAGGGAAAGCAAAAATAATTATTAATATATATTTTAGCACACTTCTATTAATTAAAAGAGAAGTAGAAATGTTTAAGGAATTTTTTGATTGAAATATATGAAACTGCGGCATGAATTTTCCTTATGATGATTCATTTCTTCAAATTATCTTTAAATCCATTTTTACGGTTTACAATATTGCAATGTTAAATCGCGATAAAAAACATTATATACGAGGTTTGATCAAAAAATACGGTAAATAATTTTATTAGAGATAAATTAATAATCAGTAAAGAAAACTTGTTTTTCGTGCAAAAATTAAAAAAATCATAATTTTTCCACGAAGTTTTATTTGCTGATCTAAGCTACGTACGCACAGCCATTAACCTCTTTTGGTTCCTTTAATACCAAAGTAATAAGTTTACATGGAATTCGATTTAATCTCCTTCAAAGTACTGTCCTTGAATAGCAAAGCACTATCCTTGAATAGCAAAGCACTTATTCCAACGTTGAATCTGGAAGCATTTCTGGAAGTCTTCTTTGGAAGGGCATTAAGCTACTCTGTCGTGGCCCTCTTAATGTCAGGAATGATGTCAAAACGTTTTCCTAAGTTTTTAATTTTTGCATGATGCTAAATCGAGAGTGTGGCGATGGTGGTTTCTTTGTACATCGTTTCGCAAACGTTGCAGTACGGCCTCATAAAATTCAGCGTTTACAGTTGTCCCCTTTGGAACGAAGTCACTATGCTCTCACTATCGAAAAAAAAAAAAAAACAACAATGACCATGACATTAGATTTTGTATGACGTGCCTTTTTAGGTGTTTTATTGGGAACTCTGAATTTTTATCTCCGGGTCATATTCATAGACCAAGGCTGGTAACCGTGACCGGTTAACCGGTTCCGTAGGGCCAAGAACCGTTAAAGAACGTAACCGGTTTTTATCCGTAACCGGTGTAACTCTTATCGAACCGGTTAAACTTGTTGGGCCATAACTGGTTTAACAGTACCCGAAACCCGTTTCAGCGAGACCGTGAACGTAAACGAACAAATATAAGGTTCTTTCGTTCGTCCCATTGGTGTAGGAATGAACTACACCAACATACACTAAACCTTTCGTTTGGCCCGGTGTAAAACCCACTATACCTTCCTGTTGGCGATGTAGTGTCCACTGGTGGATATTTTGTCCACCAGCTATTTAGCAGGAGTGAATTACACTCGACGATGTGTATAAGGAATAAGGAGGAAGTAAATTAGGGTAAATAAGGTGGTGTAACTGATGTAATTTACACTGGTGGACACTACACCAATAGCGAACGAAAGAACCTATAGTTTGAGCTCTTAGTAGGGATGCACATATTTCTTAAAACGTCGATAGTGACATCGAATGATATACCAAAAACAAAGTATCGATGGCATTAAAATGACCGAAGTGAAAAAAACGATATTTATAAACATCGATGTTTTTAAAACTTATACATTTAAAAGTAGGTAAAACAAAAGACTGTATTTATTTTATAAAAAAATACAAACAAATATAAACATTCCAAATGTAATATTAAAACAAAGCAAAACTAAGAAAATTATTATTTTTTAATAAAATTACATCACAGTTATCCAAAAATATGCTTCAAAACTTTTTCATTGATTATTAGAGGGCGCATTTGTGCAATAAAAATGTATGTTTTTTTTAATTGTGACCGATTTAAATAAAGATACAATATGCTGAAGAATGGAAAATATCGAATAAAACATCGATGTCGGTCGATGTTATTAAAAAAATAAAACCCACGAAAATTGAAACATCGAACGTCGCGTCAAAGCGAAATATCGATGTTTTTCAAACATGACGTATCGTGCGCATCCCTAGCTCATAGTTACGCCTCTCGATACCAGAGGATGTAGAAGAGCTTCCTGGCCCTGGACCATATTTTTAATAGACCCAAGTTACAGTTAAAATTTAAAATTAATAATACATGCTATTGTTTAAAATGTCAGAAATATGGAACTATTATACTAAAGACGATTTAAAGCAAAACGCAATTTGCAACATTTGCGAAAACTCTTTCAAATATTCTGGAAGTACTAGTACTCTTTGGAGCCACCTGACAAGCCCAGTTTCAGAAGAATTTGACAAACGATTTCATTTAAAGGATATCTTGACGAATAAGTTTGAAAACATTTCAACTGCGGACTTTGCAACCTTTCTTGACTTCAGATTTAAAAATATTGATAGAAAAATGGGCTTTCAGTTGAAAGTCAAGTACGAGTTGGAAAAACAAATTAGAACTATGTCTAAGGAAATAGATGAGATGACGACTAATTTTGAATCTGAAGCCAACAAGAAATCGGAAATAAACATTTTATTTCCAGAAGATTCTGGACTTAGTAATTATCTTTCGGAAGGGAGAAATACAATTCTAAAATATTATTACGAAAGGATCAAAATCCATTAACCTGGTGGAAAAACAACGCGAATAAATACCCGTTATTGTCTGTGCTGGCCGAATCCGTTCCGGTTCGACCGGCTGGGTTTGATGGGACCGGTTAACCGGACAATCAGACTGGTAAACCGGATAATCTGACCGATTAACCGGATAATCTGACCGGTTAACCGGATATCCGGACCGGTTATAATAATAGTAAAAATCCGGTTAAAACCGAAACCGGTCAAAATCAGTCAGTGTCAGGAATTGACAGCCTTATCATAGACTCAACTTTCATCTCCAGTTATAATTTTGGACATGAAGTCCGGATCTGAATGAAGACGATTCTTCAACTCCGTGCAAACTGAGACACGATTGTCCTTCTGTTCATCACTCAAAAGTCTGGAAACAAATTTTGCACTCATTCGTCTCATTTGTAAATTATCGGTTAAAATGTTTTGCACGGACCCATACGAGATTTTAAGTTCTTCGGTGAGCTCTCGCCTATTTGATCGAACAGTTTTTGCTACATTTTGCACGTTTTCTTCTTTTTTTTTTTTTGAGGTTAGTGGACGTTCCGAACTCTGCTCGTCTTCTACTGACTCATTTCCGCTTTTAAATTGATCATACCACTTTCAAGTTTCTTTGGTACTTTTGTGCAACTTAAAACATACTATAATTAATTGGAGGTTTATGGAGGAAAGGATTTATTAAACGAAAATATGTCTGACAATTCTCTAAAAATTAATGTCACACTTATCCAAAATAAATATGAGGCTAACTTAAAAATTATATAATACAAGGTGAGATCAAATTATATATAACATCCCACCTTTGCAATTATCGAATTGCAAACGTATTATTTTTACTTTGATAACGATCGGGAATCTTTACTGTTCTTCCATATCTTGTCGTAATTTCCTTATTCTTTCTTGTGCCTTGATTCTGTTCTACTTCAGGATTTAATTTTGTAATTTCTTCAATGCTGTCTTCTTTGCCTTTCTCCTCTTCTGTGTTTGCCTTGGACTGGCTTTCGGGGAAAGTTTTATTCAGCTGACCTTTTTTGATTTGTCTGGGTCATTTCTAATGGATACATGTTCAATTATGTCTTTAGGCAATTCTTTGTCTCACTGAATACTTAATTTCCAAGTACTCTGCAATAAGATTTTTGGAACTAAAGTAACTGGACACGTAAATCAAACACCTTATTAGCTATCAAAAGCAAACTTCTCCTGGTATTAGGTGTTTCTCCTAACTGAGCTAAAGTATTTACATCGCAAAAAAGTGTGCCATTCTTAAAATCCCAGGATAAACCTAGTACTGGACAAATAGACTGATGCGAAGTGATATCCAGGTTGACCTCTCTGGAAGAGTGAACCCAACCTCTCAAATCAAACTGTGCACTTGACATGATAATTTTAGACTCATTTATAAACTTTTCCAATTCAGCCTTGTTTTTAACGCTTGTGATGCAATTATCGACATAAAAGGCATGTTTTAGTTTACTGGCACTTTCTTTTAAATGATCTGGAACTCTTTCTAAATGGTACAAAATTGTAGCAGTTAATAATAAAGGGCTAGAAGAAATGCCAAATACAACCCTACAATGTTTATAGAATTTAATTACAGAATTTTTGTAACTTTCCCACCAAAGAAATTTCAAATAATTTCGATCTTTCTCTATGATGCTAATTTGTAAAAATGCTCTTTTAATATCTGAAACTACACGTATGGAACCTAGTCTGAACTGTAACAGAATCGTAGGAATCAATTCAATTAAATTCGGCCCTTTTTCTAAACAATTATTTAAAGAAACGTTATTTTTGTCTTTGGCAGAGGCGTCAAAAACTGGTCTGACTTTAATAGTAACACTAGACTCCTTAATTACTGCATGATGTGGTAAAAAATGAGAGAATTGGAAATATCTTTAATTTCTTCTATAATACCTAGCTGTTCCCATTCTTTAAAAACATTCTAATAGTCATTGAATCTATTTAAACTAATAAGTTTCTTTGTCGTCGATATTAATCTTTGCTTAGCTATCTCAAAATTGTTTAAGATATTGGGATGACCCTCAATAAATGGGAGATTAACTTCATATCTATTATCCTTATTAACAGTTATATTATCTATGAAATTTTGCATCACTTCAGATTGTAACTTTTCTTTACTTTTAACTTCAGAAGGGTCCCTAATACCTATCATTTCTAAACTCTACAAATCTTCAATAGAACTAGAGCTCAGAAAGGTATAACTAAAGAAAATATTTGTTTTAATGCTTTGTTTCCCTATTATAGTCCACCCCAGATGTGTACAAATT